CCAATTTCGGTCAAATTTGGGAGAGGAATTGAGATGTATATCACAGAGATATAAGTGTAAAAATGAATAATCAATTGGACGTACAGTCCGAGTTTAGCCGCCATCTCAATCTTACCACCTTGGTGCGTGAATGAGGGTTCAAATAAGCATGACGGTCAGTAGCAAAATATATGAAGCCGACGCCAAACGAAAGTAATGTTTAATGTTTTGCGTAGCACGGGTAATTTTGAATCGCACGGCTCAAAATAGAAGAGGCCTACGTTCCTATTTTTAGAATTGCGTTTTTTAAAGCTTGGCATTGCGAGGTGCCTTTGATTGTAGTTATACAAAGGTTGATTATGTCATTTTAAACGATTTTGGAGACTCACCATATCGTTATAGTCCATTTCGCAACATACAGTCATGCATTTGAAAATAGCCTTGCAATGTTGTTTCCATTGTAAAAGGTTTCGTCATAAAACTATCTTGTCGAAAGTACACAACCACCTATTGACTTTCCATAGACCATTTTGTGTTTGAGGATGAAGGTTCCTCGTCATCCGTTTCGACAGTCCGATCACACAGAAACGGATAGGTGCTGCGTTTGGTGACTGGACCAATATTTCTTCATTTGGATTATCATGAATACCCCTTTCATTTTTCAGCTACTTGAGGTATGTGATAGATCAATGGATATGTCGTATAAGCAGCTTGTGTATACATGACTTGCGATGCTTTTTCCAGACGAAGATCCTTTTTGATTATGCTGCATTCTGTTGCCTGGGGCACGTGGATGATTTTTGCCACTGACTTTATATTCCTGGATTCTCATCTGTTACCAAACGCAGCACTTTGCTTAACACGGCTGGGGTACTACTTGTTGCAGGTCTCTTTCTGGATCGTCCTTGTTTCCCAAGCTGATCCATATGTCATTAAGTTTGATATTTTGAGTCAGGAAGGACTGTTACATACACTTTCCAAAAGCGATCGAATTTCGGCGGCATCACACTTAGGTGAAAATGCTAAACAATGTAAAAATGCAAATCTGATACATGCCTTTCCACTGCGACTTTATATCTGCCATGGTTGTTACGTGAGTTGCTGATTTGCTTATTCAAGATCGTTTTGATATAACGTATTCAACCCTGTATATAGCTTAAGCTATATTTATCTGCATCTTACTTATGTTGGAAATTAAGTTCAGACTTCTTTTTCTCTCCTGCATTTTGGCTGTACTGTAATAACCTCTTTAGTTTACATGTCTACTGGCCCCCCAGTGGCACAGCGGTATGTCTGCAGACTTACAACGCTAGAAACCGGGTTTCGATACCAGTGGTAGGCAGAGTACAGATAGACCATTGTGTAGCTTTGTGCTTAACTTCAAACAACAACAACGTATGCTATAAATATAAATCTGCTCATAAAAAATTATGTCTAGGAAATCCCTTCTGCTGTCAATATAACAAGGCGGGTCAAAAATACTGCAGCATATTTTTATTATTATTACTTGGATTAATTCTATATGTTTGTTTTTCTGGTGTGTAGGCTAAACTTTAAGATACTCTTGAGAGAAAATGTGTATTCTACCTCATCGTCCTCAGGTAGAATTTTCAAAAGTCCTTTCAACTCTTCAGTGCCCAAATATTTGTTTGTTCCTTCCAATATATCTTCAATTATAACTTCATGCGAGCTGTAAATAATAAATTACTTTATTATCAACAAATAAAGACATAACTGGCACTAATAAAGTATTAAATTATATTATCAACCATACAAGGATGACTTTGCAATAATATAGAATTTAATGAAAATGAAATATATGTTAAAGAAAGGAAAACAACAACAACATATGATAGAGGTAAAGAAAGTTTTTATTTTAACAAAGAATATCTTCACATCACAAATCTTCATTAAAAAAACTTGAAGAATATACAAAAAACAAGTTTTTATTTCTGTAGTAGAATTCATATTCCGTACTCTAAACGATTTGCTATTCTTAATCAAAACTAAAAGACAACTGCTATTATTCATTTTTAAGAATCCAGTCAGACCATAATTCCCCTGCAATTTTCTTTTAAACGATTGTTTTGTTTTACATAACAGAAGTATCATGAAATTAATGAAAACACCAAACAAACACACAAATTAGGGAATACTACAATTTGTTGTGTTGTTTTAAATAGTATAAGAAGTAGATGATATCTTTCATCACCATTAATTCACCTGATCTTGATCTGACATCACTAATATTGTACATGCATAATTTTCTTTTTAAGAAATCCAATACGAATACGGAGTATTAACAATCACTTACATACATCATAGAACATATCGTGGTCGTAACTGCTAGACGAAAATTTGTAATAATTAATTTTTTGCTTTCATAAAGAAACTTTTTGTGTACTTATTTGCTAGGTTGTTTTTTTTACGTTCAAATCTACACAATAGTCTATCCGCGCTGTGCTCACTGAGAGCACACTGCTAGAAATACAGTCAGCTCAGTGTAAATATGTTTCAGTCATTATATTTTGTTGTATCTAATAACGATAAATGTAGTTACAATTTCTCTGTACAAGTTTTAAGAATGAATATAATGTGATGACCTGGAATCACCATTTAACCAATTTAGATATTAAACATAGAAATGAAAGTGATTAATCGGGTGGAAAACGAAGTTTTACAATTAATATTAAAGACATGCTAACACCAAAAACTTTAGTTACGGACGTTTCGGAGTTGCTTCAAATTCCATGATGAACGTTAAAACCTCAAAATTAATTCAAAATATTCTAATTAAAAAACAACAACATTAATCAATAAGCGAGTAGCTTTCTTATACAATCAAAAGTTTAGAAAGAACAGGTTTTTAAACAATAGCAATATAATGGAACGTACGATAAAACGTGCGACATATGTGTAATAATATTGTTAAGAGAAACAAATTATAAACAAAGCCTTAAATATAAGTATAAACACCGCCTCTTTAAAATAATAGTAATGATTAAATAAAAAACACCGAAAATTTGGAATTCATTAAATTAGTGACAACAAGGAGGAGTTGATGTTATTATTTAGTTTTGGGTGATCATTGAAAATGGAGAGGCTTTCTTTAATAAAGAGTTCGTAATCTCTGGTTCCGAAGTCAAGAATTTTTAAGTTTTCAAAAAGTATTGGGTGGTTGTTATTCTCATTGTGTAATCGGATACTAGACTCGGGGGGGGGGGATTAGTTAACGTAGGGATGGGTAGGGTGTCTTTGGTTTTAAATATGTTTCTGATCCTGAATGTTGACTTAAATACTAAACATAGCTTAATTTGTGGATAATACAGGGGTTTTCCTAGTGTGCAGTTGATCACAAATTGTGTACCTGTAAAAATATTTATGTAGTTGAAAATTCACCCATATAAGTAAGTTCAAGTGGATAATTATTTAACAAAAACATATTAAAGATTATAAAATTCCATTCCAGAGTTGATAAATAAATATATTTACTAGAATATTCTTCATTTTTTGGATCATTTGTTACTAGGCCTGTATATTTGAGGTGCAATAAGGCATCACGTATTAAAAAATGATGACGTTAAAATATAATTGTGCAGTTGAAAAAAATCCTTAGGATAATATGTTTGATTATTTTTTTTTAATTTGTGAATTCAGTTTACAACTTTGTACATAAAAGAAGTGACAAGAAGTAATAGATATTTCAGGACAGTGTGTGTGGCTTCTTGATAGTTTATATTTTTATTTGTTAAAAATGTTCGTGTAATAATGTAAGAAATTAAAGGGATAACCATTACTTTGTAATATAATATGAATTTTTTGAAATTTCTGAGTGAAGACAGAAGTAGTCACAACAGATATTATACGCTCTGTTTATAAGTTTTAGAACAAGGTTATGTTTGAAACTATCAAACTGAGTGTATAAACCATAAATGTTTTCTTGCGGTAAACAGATGTGGCAGCGAGACTGTATATTTTATTTAGTTGGGCATCTAAAATAGGCTAAGTTACTGTGTTCTTTCGTCTCACATGTAAAGTTTATATGTGAATGTTGTGAGTTTAGGTGTTCTAAAAACTTCTTGTCGTGATCAGTGTTGTGAAAGAGTAGAAAAATATCATCAACGTTCCTTCTATATAATACTGGTTTGTAATAAATGGAGAAATTATCCAGCCATTGACTGGATAACATAGTAATAACATTGAAAAATTCGGACCGTCTAGCTGGGCATAAAGATGACCATTAAAATATTATTACACGTATGTCGCTCGTTATAATTATTGTCAATCTCACCTTTGTTTCGTTCAATTCTATTGTTGCCTCACACTTTAAACTATTATAGGCTGTTAACATCCAAAAATAGAAATAAATCTATATCCATTTAATAAAAAGATAGTTGGGTATACTCTTGTATACCACTAGGAACTCTGACTTCACGTTTTTCTATTCAAAAATGGGACAAACAACGAGAATTTAATCATGTTTTACCTAAAATAAAGTAAAATATGAAGGCATATAAAAAGATAACATATCATCTTTTTCATTACTTTACATACATCAGTCATAAAACTTTTATTTACCTTTAAGTTGTACGTTTTAAATTATATTTAAAACTATTTTTGAATAAATAGTCTTATATTTTCGAATTTTAAACCTTCAATTATAGAATCCTTCTAAATTCACTTTATATCTTAATTTTTTCATAATACCGAAAACAAATCTTAGCACCGATTGCGAGGGATTTTTATAATATATGTGTGGATTGAAAAGAAGGTATTGTAATTGGCTGGTTGGTCTTAATCGTGAATGGCGGAGCGCGTGTATTGCTGATCAAAGGTAGCCATAAAATGCTTGTTTCTGTACTTGGACGATGTGTAGAGGATTCTGTGCTCTTTCTTTTTCACTAACTCTTTCGCTGAAGAAGTGAAACGTCTTGGGTTATGATTTATTTTCAGTTACCCGAGAGAAATTGAAGGTTTTAAAAAATTATAATTATTGATTATTATTTCGGGGTAACTATGTCCTTTGACCCCCGTTTTCATACGACACTGATTTTATTGGTTTATTTGCATATTTGTAATAAAATTTAGCGTACTCAGTATTCCTCTGCTTAGTCTTTCAAGAAGATTATCAAGCAATTTCGGCACTATTTGATCTCAGTTACAGATAAATAATCTTCTGCTCAGAGATATAATTAAATGATCCGTAAATGTGATAATTTTAATGCAAACAGCTTTGGAAAGCATTACTGATATAAATACTTAGAATGATAGTTACATTCATACCTACATATGTAAAATATACATTTAGACTTATTAACGTTCTACTTAGAAAGTATTAGAGTTTTCGGCAGATTAATCAGATCGAAACAGTCTACAGGATAACAAGTAGATTCGAAAAAACTGATCTATTATTATTGAGCTATCATAATCTATCCTAGTTTAAAACTTTAGTAACTGTATCATTTTTATGCTCTTGTTCTCTTCAAAATCACTGAACGATTTGTACACCGAGGGTCAGCTACATTACATATCTCACACCCTTCAGTTTTATGTAATATAGTGAGGAGTGAGTTGAAAAATCAATTGCTAAATTTGCTCAAATTTTCTTGAATAAGCACTCATAGTATACAGCATTGCAGATAAACGGTTTAGCAAGATTATTACAAATATTTTTCAAAATCTTTACAGTTACGGTTTGGATAATCAATAAAAGCTAACTCCAATGGAGTTATGACCTGCGACTTCGTAAACAACCATCTAGATAAAATAAACACTGATACAGGGGAAGACACTTACCTGCGAAATTGTTTTAGAAAAACGTTAACATTAAGACTCCTCTTACTGTCTAGAAGATTAATCTAAAAAAAAAATATATATACATTGTTGACGGTTGCTGCTATAAAAATGCACCATAAAAACTAAATACATTAATAATATGCTCTAATCAAGATATTGAAATGATATTGTCTTGAAATATATGAACAATAAGATAAGTAAAGTATATGAGAGCCCTGAAAACAATTACTATATAATATATAAATTTAACATGATGTTGTTGTCAATTCCTGTTAAGAAGGTACAGCATATAAAGTACGTTAAAACAAAATTGAAGCAGGACAAAATTTTCATTATTTCTCAGACTTTCTAATGTATTTTAATCTTCCAATGAGATAATCAACTACATCAACTAAATAATGAATCAAACAAATTATTGTACTTCTACCAATAAAGTTTTATTTAATTTTACATTTCTATTGCTTAATATTTATGTATTCAGATGAAACTGAAAGAAGGTTACACAATAATATGTTAACATAAACGTACATTAATTATTAATATTATCATATCTATGTGGATACTCGTCCATAAGCTTCAGTGTTTTAAATCTATATCGTGAAGATTAAAACAATAACATATCTTTATTCATTTAATATTGGTAAAACGAAATGTTTCGCGGCGAAAATCAATAATATTATAAACAGCAGGTGGTTGAAAATATTATGAATATAATTTTGTATGATTACAGCCTTCGTAGTATACAGTACACTGAATAAAAAAAAATAGAGAGTGTCCCAGAAGTCTTGACCCATAGGGAAAAATATACATTATATTGTTAGAGTTAAACAAACACATTTCTAATGTTAGTTGTACATATTTCAGAAAACAAATATCCTGATGGTATACCAAGAACTGATTTGTGTATGGTTGTTAATGGAATGCAATTGGAATAATAAATAAATTAAGAATAAATAATGTATTTTCTCCTATAGATTCAGACGTTTTGGACACCCTGTATTTATAACACCGAAAGAAACTTTACATGAATATATTCTTGTCAGTTTGTTTTTATTTCTTTGGCAATTTAAGTATATGCTTCATTTACATATTTACATGCTTCATATTAAACCCAATTACTTATACTCTGAAGTCGTTTTAAATGTCTGAATTTACATAAATCGTCTTCTCCTTACGCTAGATAACATAAAGAAGGTAATGATTCGATTTTCTTTGTGTTTGAACAAACAAAGTTATTTACCGTATTTTTCCTTTGCAAACATTCACCAAAATCCTTCAGGTTCAATTAAGAATATGATAATTGTTGCTGAGAATTGAAATAATCTACGATGATGACAACTGATACATAAATTTTGTTATTAAATGTTCTCTGTATTTTATAGATTAACTAATAACCTAAACGCGTTGTTTTATATTTAATTACTATCCTTTTTTGAAATGTTGGTTTCCGATGATACAGGGTTCAAAAGAACAAGTAACAGAGTGCTAAAATATCATTGGTAAGAAGTTTTAACACAGGTCTAGCGTATGTTTTTTTTTAATATTATGGTGATATAAGTTTTAGAAGACACTCTCATTTGTGATAATGCTGAAACATTCTTAAAATTCAACACTGGTGAAGGTTCTGGACTTTGAAAGTACCGAAAATGACTTCGAAAGTTATGTAGATGTTTACATTTATAAACACGTATATACATGCATATTGCAATATATATATTGCGATGATCCTAACCTTAATTATATACTAATTTTGCTTCAGAAACACTTACTTCTTGAGATTCTTTTTTCTTTTGACTGGGACCGTCTGTAGCATTTTCATTGCTGAGAATAAGATTTTCATTGTCGTATCTTGAAGTACTTTTTTGTTTTTGGCAAAATAAGCGTTCCATCATTTCAAAATCAAGTGTATTAGATGTTACTTCATGGCTTGAGGCAACTAAGGTCCACAGATTTTTTTGTCCAGTTATTTTCTGAGTTGGTATTTTATTCCAGTTTAGTGAAACCATTTTGTTTTTCGGTTTTGGAATAGTTTGTTGAGGTAGGGTGACCTGATGCATTGATAACATACCGGGTAGAGGTGGAGGTAGAACACCTAATGATGGCGGAGGAGGTAGAACAGACAAACCTAAAAATGGTGGCGGAGGTGGACCTTTTAGTGATGGTAAAGGAGGAGGTGGAGGAGGAAATTTTGATGGTAATAATGGAGGCGGAGGTGGTGGAGAAACCGATGATGATGATGATGTAGAAGGATGTGGAGGTAAATGTAATGATGGTATTGGTACAGAAAAAGAAGGTTTTGAACTTTGAGAGTCTGGTTGAGAAGTGGAAGATGAGGGTGAGATTGAAATTGCTGTAGAAAAATCAGTTTCATCAGTCGCTAGTAATTCTAAATGTTCTTCATCCGCGTTTGTTTGTCTTTTGGTAGATGATTCTGATAAAGACAACAAAGTAGAAGTTTGCGAAAGCGAAGTTGATGGCTGGAAATCTTCGAACGAACATTGTACCATGACTGACCTTTGATTTGTATTTTGTTTATCACTTTGAAGATTCAAGCAATTGCTTAAACAGCAGTTATTTTTCGCATTATAATAATTCCTTAAGTGTTTAACACATGCTAGTAAATTTTCAGCCTCTTCCTTTGTTTGCACTAAAATTGCCGTGTGAACCAATTTCTCAGCTGTTTCCCATATGGCTTCCTTCACTGATGTTAGAGCATTATTAATATGTAAGAAATGACGCAGGAGATTATGAAAAATTATCTCTTCAGGCGTAGACTTCACCTGTAAGATGTTAAAGAACACTCACTTATTGTTTTATTTAATAATGATCGGTGACGTCACCTGGAATTGCTAGTAGAACGAAATATTGCTTTTATTTTAGAGTATGCTAATAAAGAATTGTGTTGTAGATAAGTTTCATTACAAAGAACATACATATTTATATAGATGCACATGCGTGTCTCAGTGAGTCAGTGGTAATTTTACGTTCAAAATCAGGGGCTCGATTCCCTGCGGTGGACAGAGCGCGGATAGCCTATTGTGCACTTTTGTGCTAAAAAAAACCCAAACACAAACATATATGTATCATTATAAATAGAAATCGATTTTTTTACAGTTCAACTAGTAATAGTATTTTTATTGAATAAATGACTCCACCACTTGTAAATAGAACATGGTGATATTTTATAAAATAGGATACTGTGATATTCTAAATTTCAAAGGAAAGCTTTCCAGCTGATGACACTTCAATACTTTAACAGTTATCCATCCATCCATAAATCCATCTATCTATCTAAATTATTAATAATATAATCTGGAATCTTCGTAGTATGGAACGTTAATTTTGATGTTTGGGCATTTTTATATGACAGAACTAAAGTAGCGAGGTTTTTGCGTAATGAATTTTGCTGTGTCGTTTGTAGAATGGTGTAAAATAAACCGATGTTTTACGTGATTGTGCATAATAATATGTAAATACCCTTTGGTGTTTTTAATACCAATTAATTGACGACGTTATAGTCGGTAGAGTGACAATGTGCTGTTGTATCCGTTATATTTAAATTGAATGAAGAAGGATGTAAGATACGAAAATATCTACACATACTTTGAAACTATTTTTTGAAACGCAGAAGGAAAGAATTTGTGGAGTTTCAATTAGCTTGAGGTGTGGTGTAGTTAAAATACTACTACACACTTTTCTTCTCGGAAAAACCCTAAGGGGCAGAATAAAAAATATAATGTTTAAAAATGTAATATAGTCTCATGACTAATATAATTATTTAAATTAAGTCGTTAACTTTTCTGTCAGAGCTTTTAGTCTGTCTGTGTTTAATTGCATATCTACACAATGTCTGCCAAGAGTATCGAACCCCAATTTTTTTGCGTTATAAGCCATCATGTTAATCGCTGAGCCACCGTAACGTCCGACAGAGCAAACAGATAAAATGCAAGATGCAATAAAAGTACATTATAGAGTAAAAGGACCTTGTAAGAAATACACATGCATTTAAATTATTTTTATAGCATTTTCTATCATGGGTACTTTATCAAACTTCCTTTTGTACTCTTTCATTTTAACTTTATATTTTTTTGTTTTTACATTAAAATAAAATAACAAAACCTTTTTTTGCATTTTAACTTAACCATTTAATAAAAAATAAAAACTTTTAGCAAAGAATATGACGTTTAACGAGTAAATAGGATATTATGAATGATCCCTGATGTACAATATATAGCAAAATACAAAGTGTAAAAGTAAAATAAGATATATTTTACCTGGCATAAGATAGCTTTAAATACATCCTTGATATTTTCATGAGAAACGTCGTCTTGTTTTCCAGCAGGATAACATGCATGATCAGGCAGCGCAGAATCTCCAAAATCTAGATGAATTTCACGTTCTTGGTGCCTAAGAGTAAAAAATATATATATATACTCTTTAAGAAAATGAATGGATTTTCATCACGCTACTAAACTTCAAAGCTTTGTGTTATGATTCTATCAAAGTAAAGTATCCTCATTGTATAAAACTATTTATAAGTGATCCTTTATTTTTAAGTTTTTGATTTAAAAGATGTACTCACCCCATGTTACTGATGATTTGTATTTTTCTGACATCTGAAATATATAATCAAAATATTTATCTGCTATTTACACCATATTATCATTTTGAAGTGTTTTTTTTTAAATCTAAGCCTAGGAATATTTTAATTAATTATATTAGGAATTATTGAGTCATTTGTTTATATTAATCTACTACCGTTTGATGAGAAGAACTATTGTTCGCAGCTTTATGAATATTTATTTCTAAAAAATAGTGTTTTAAACGTCAAGTCTCATGTATTAAATAATGAATTAAAACATAGAAACAAACAACAGTCTGGATCCATATGACACGTGGTCAAGTAATAGTTGTTAAAAAGCGTTATTTGGAATTTAAAAAAGTGAATGAGAGAGAAACGTTGGTTATTTCTAGGGAATGTTAGTCATTTTATGCAATAATGAGAAAAACGGAATTCATATTTCCAATATAGCGTAGGTTATGTGCTGAATAATATGACGATGTAAGGAAGAATATATACTATTGTACATGCTGGAATTGAAAGTTTCTATTGTCATCATTTCATTATGTATAAAATTTCATGTTACTGAATACTTATAGTGGATATAACTCATTAAAGAATTAATTTGCTATCAATATGATGCAATTTTATTTTAAACGAATAATAATAATGATGATGATAAGAAGGTTCTACGCCAAATGTGAACGCACCACATTTTATTTTCATGCATAATAATTTCGTTGAAAGTGAAAATGCTGAAAAGAACGCTTTTAGTTTTTGAGCATCTTAAAAATTGAGTAGTTAGTTCTTGAACAAAAATTCTGTGAAACAATAAACTCTCATGGCCATAATCAATTCTAAGATTAGGTATTTTCTTGAATAAAAATATTTAATAGGTCTAATTCGTCAACTACTTTAATCTTTAGATTTTATAACACAAAACTTGCACTGACGTAAATGTTGTTTGGAGATACAAAATGTGATGCGATTAGATTATGGTTTATCAGGGAAAGTAGTTATCAATCGTTAGTGTTAAACCACTCCTTATAATATAGCCATAATTCGGCTGATACGATTTAGAATTAGAAAATATCATTTTTTTTTCTACTGGGGTCAAAGGTCAAGGTCAATTTAGTGTGTAATATGTGTATATTTTTTTTCAAAGAATACTTCTCGGCATTCGCTAACTTTAAATCCGAAAGGTAAAATCTTTCAAACTTATTAAGGTGTTTTCGCTTTTCTATGTTACGACGTAATGCATGTTTGTTTTAGCGTTCAAGGTTTGACAGGAACTGTGATTGCAACTTGTAAAACGCCATGTTGCTTGCTTAATACAACGGATGTGACTCATTAGATACATTCCGTGCGAGAAATACACCACAGTGATTACAAAGTAATATACTGTAATACATTTAAAATATAAAAGGATAAGATGCTGGTTCAATATTTCTTCAATTAATTTTGAAATAACTATCTTATTACATTTGAATATCCAAGAAAAAAAAACACTAACTTACAATTATCATAAATACTATTCTTATAAGGGTTAATAGTGAACAGTTAAAGTAAAGGTTATAATACTTTTGGTGTCACAGTTTAAACTAAATTAAAATTTTGCGAAAAACTGTCCTACACTTATCTTAACTCGTTGTGTTTGTAGAAGTAGTAGCTAACTCTTTATACCTTCGTAATGCCATTCCCTGTTTCGTTATTGTTTTATTAATTAATGCAAAAAAAACACGAAGTCAATGCTAGTAGCTTAATTATATTCTGTTTGAAATTATCGGCTATATAATCTGCTCTTAGGAATAGCTATGAACTTGTTTGTTGTTTTGTGACTAGCTCCGAAATTTTTCATGTAGTTTGTTTGTTTTTTAATTTCGCGCAAAGCTACACGAGGGCTATCTGTGCTAGTCGTCCCTAATTTAGCAGTGTGAGACTAGAGGGAAGGCAGCTAGTCATCACCACTCACCGCCAAATCTTGGGCTACTCTTTTACCAACGAATAGTGGGATTGACCGTCACTTATAACGCCCCCCACAGATTGCGAGTCGAGCGCCTTATCCACCTGGCCATTTCATGTAGTCTACAGTTACAGATAATGCAAATTTTTAATATTACCTAAACTATTTTGCAGCGGGACCTATTGATGTCCCAAAATATCCAAAATTTGAAGGATTTGAAGACAGAGTTAGTCGGACAAGATTGGTGCCTGAATGCTTCACTATTCTGGAATCATCATTTAATAGTTATATACAAAAACAAACGTAAAGATAAAGCAATCATCTGCTGGTACAGAAATTATGTAAGCTATTTATGAAGTATGACAAAATTATATCTCTCTCCGTTTTTTTTTCTTGTTTTTTTTACTGTTGCATCCATTATTGCCTTTGAAAAATCTGTCAGCCGCCAGATTTTGAAACCCAAAATTTACAAGTCAGTTAATTATAGATGATATGTTCGTTGAGAACACACAAGAAATATAAGGAATGAAAACAGTAAAATAATCTATCGCCGAATAGACCTATCGATCAACTAAGAGGGATCTTTCTTATTGGGGGTCAAAGTTTGTACACGGGTGCAAACTTTCAAAGTGCTTTGGAATTAGAACATTGCTTTCTATGATAAAAACAACAACAACAAAAAAACAGTGAACTCACCCATGTAGAAGAAGTAGTAAAACGTTTATACTCCTATAATTTTGTGTAAACTGAATTACATCAGGAAATTAGAGGTGTATCATGTGTAGATGCCGTGACCTCAGTTGGTCCAAAAGTTAACACGGTCACAGAAAGGGAAACTTGAGAGGCAAGTCAATTAGGTTTAGTCTGCAAGATAAGGAAACTGGCGGAAACAAGAATTGCAGTTAAAATTGCCATAAGTACACAGAGAAATAGGAAGGTGAAAATCGATTATTTCAAACGGCTATCTGCGCTGTTTCCGCTGCGGGGGTACGAAAACAAAGTTACCATGACATTAAAATGAGAACATAATGACAGAGAAATTAAGCAAACAAAGGCAAAATGTCTTTAAATTACTTTAGATAAAGCCATTCAGATAATTCAGAACCAAAATAGCACAGAGAAGGTCCTTCAAAATATCTTCAATTGTCTTCAAGACGATAATACAGATACTGTTTTGAACTTTGAATAAGTTGGAATGAAGAATTAGAACATATTATAAGTAGGTTTTGAAGCAGCACAAAGAAGAGTGACACAGCCAATCCGACGCTAGATTAATTGGAGAATATGATAAATGAACCCAATACTCTGACGCAGTAGAGAAGATAAAACGAATAGTTTAGTTACTACTAATAAATCAGGTATTTGATACAATAAATAAGAAGCAGGAACTCTTCATATATATTAAAGAATGCTCAGATTAATGAATAAAAACACTATCAACATGCATGCGTTGGCTAGGTCAGGGAATACACTCTGTAGAAATATTATGCACTAGTTAGGAATCTAAGGAACGGTTTCTTTGTTTATTTGTTGATAAGCACAAAGTTATACAACGAGCTAGTTGTGTTGTGCCCACCCTTGGTATTGAAGCCCGAATTTTAGCGTAACAAGCCCTCACACTTACCACTGAGTCACTGAAGAGTCTAAGTGAACAATACAGGAAATTAACAAAAAGACTTACAGAAAAACATATAAATCGTGAAAGTAAATTTGATTTAAAACTTTTAACCCTAAACTTACAGTTTAAGACTAAACGCAATTGAGGGTGTTCAGAAAACTTTTTCTCTTCACCCCTATTCAAGATATAAAGAATTGGAACGGCTTCATGAAAAAAAAAATAACAACAACAATTGGATACAGATTAGATATGTCGTCGTGTATGTCGAGCAAGCAAAGGAAAGAGAACCGAAGACTTAATATAATAACTGTCCCATATAATACGGACGATAGTTGTATATAACTCTGAATCACAACATGCTGTTCTCCAATAGCAATTGTCGATATAGAAACACGGTCGAATAGAGTGTATCAGAACTACATTTTGACACTGTTTGGCGCGTTGGTAATGCGATTTCACCGAGAATTGATCGGCTTATGGAAGTATAGTTAATAGCCCTTTCCGACACAATATATTCATAAAAATGTTTTCAGGAATATGGTTCAACTTGGGCCACCAGGATCACCCAAAAACATACCTGCAACAAGTCACACCCCGTCATGAGTAAAGCGTGGCGTCTTGTAACAGGTGAGAATCCACAAACACAAAGGTCTGTGGCAAAAGCTGTTCACATGTCCCAGGCAACAATACGCAGCATAATAAAGAAGCATTTTCATCTGGAAATGAGGCCAAGAGGGTACGGTTCAAAAAGTTAAAGCTTCCATGCATACCTCTTGTTCAGTCATTGCATACTTCCAGCAGCGCAGCGTCTATAAATTTCTGTTTGATCGAAATGTTGACACGAGTGTTTGTAAACTGGTTGAATTGTGAAAAGTTTACAGGGAGAAGTGGTATGTTTTTGGACATGACAGCTTTATAACGCTGTTATATAATGGAAACCACGATATTGGGCTATTGTTAGATTCACAGTTAGAGCGTAGCTAGATTTGGCGACACGAACTGTAACAACCTGGCGAGACTCCAAAATTGTTTTAATAAAACGTACTCAATCCTTTGTACTAAGTTAATTAAAAATATAATATATAAATTAATTTTTCCGAAATTAATGGATTAACAATGCACATTTAATCATAAAAAAATAAAAGGTCGAGGCAAAGTTCGCATGAAAAATTGTCGTTCCAGAGATTCTACAAGAAATGGAGATTATCAAAATAACTGTTGCATACAATTTAATTGAGGAAGGACTTTTAGGTATAAGGAAATTCATCATGAATAATGTACCACAGCACTTTTATTGGCCAGAGATATTTTTCTGGTGTTGCCAGATATTATCATACTTGCAAAGTAGACAAACATATATCAACAACAGAAACAAAGGCAGAGAATTCCATTACCTGGTTTGAGACTTTTTCGAATAGGGATCATTATTGTCGACTCTCTTCCTTTTTCAGAGAATGATAATATACGGGGTTGCTTTAAGTGTAGGTTAGGAAAGACGAAACAAAAGACTGATATACTCTAATGTATATTATATGTTTGGAAGGGGATGATCCGTTAAAAATCCTACTGCCGTTGATTTAGAGGTGTGATGCAGGTAATGAACCTTTAGTCTGTAAAACTTTATTGACTTCATATTCTTCTTTATTGCCCCCAGTGGCAGAGTGGTATGTCTGCGGACTTATAATGCTAGAAACCGGGTTTCAACACTCGTGGTGGCCAGATCACAGATAGCCCAATCCTTCTTTATTGTCCTTTTAATATTAGTAGGAGATATGAACATCTTCATCGAACATATTGAAACTCTCCGCCTATACGGCTATACTTTTGACCGAATAACGAACTTGATTGTCGCTGTTACAACACTCCATAGCCGAAAGAGCGGAGCATTTTTAATGTCGCTAGTCTCTTCTTTGTCTAGTGTTTCTTGAAAATGATATTAAAAGCAGAGAGGAAAAGTTCACGTGCGTTATTTGAAGGGAGGGTCTTCAAAAGTAGGTCCTACAAGCTTGGATACTTCATTAATTAGCGAACCTAGGTCACGTCAAAAGTGACATTTGCGCATCCTTATGAAAAACAGGCCATGCATTATCTGCATGTATGTACGTTTTCAGGTTTAACAAATTATAGTAACAAAGTTAAATATTAAATATAAATTTATAAATATGTAATGTTGAAAAAAATAACTTATTTCAAATAATACACCTATAAATTCCATAAAACAAGTCGTTGAAATTAGATACTTGTAAAGTAAATGTATAAACTTGAAAAGCAACTAATGCAAGTAGAAGTATAGAAACAATGTCATATCACTGTCTCCAGTGGTTTAAAAAATTTTGACAAAATCTAAACAGTAATCTATCGTTTAGCTGAGTTCTTAGTGAATTACGCTTTAGAAAGATCAGACCTGATAAAAGGTGAAAATAGAGGCATCTTTTTCCACGGTTGTCACACGTAAATATTAAGCGGTATTGACGCAATTTAACAAAATGAATTAAATATGAGATGGTTAAAAATAATTATGGACAGAACAGCTGGGATAAGATGTCAAAACACATTTTGGTTTACAGTTTTATGAAAATTTTGTACATGAATAGAGTCTTATGTAACAGTTTATACTTTGAAAACATACGGTCAACACACGGCCTGGGGTGGCTTAATGGATAGCGTATCGGAATGCAGAGACAGTCGATCCAAGGTTCAAGGTGTGATACCACTAAGTACATTCCGAACTTTCAGCTATAGGTGTATTATAAAAGTGACAGTCATTTCCCTTATAAGGTTCAAAGAGCTGAGAAAAGTTTTTGCGTGCGCACCTGACTATATATTGCCCTTCTAGACAATAGTTCAAAATTAGAAAAGGTTAGACCTAAAATTCCAGGGATCTCTGACCACCTGAACGTTTTAACCCGCACGCGTACAAAGTGTTTTATATATTAAAAATTCAAGTTAAGATCCAAAGTAAAGGACAAATTCAAAGTGTCACTATCTAAGGCTGAATGGGTAATTTATTTATTTACTTACTTATTAAATGATAATAACACTAGCAAAGCTAAATCTGAAGAAAGAATCAATAAAAGATGTTGTTTGATAAAGTTATAACAGGTATATATATATATATACATATATATAGTACTGATGTGCACTCATTATGTTATCTATTAATTTGATAAACCAGAATCTATTGAAGTAAAAGACATAAACAATAACTGAAGTATTTTTTCTTGTTTCTCTTTCATTAATAATAAACCCAAGACAACAAACTCGATCCGGTGAAATTAACTGATAAAAGTAGTACATTGTCAAGCACCACCAACTCAGCAGATCTACTGTTTTCTTGCTGAAAGATGAAGAAATTAATGTGTGACGTTGCTTTTTTTATATAAATAATAACGAAAAGCAGAGAAAGACATAATTAACGTACAAAATGTACTACAGAACTTCTAATTGAAAATACCTTTGAGTTACAGTACTAAGGAATGTTAAGATACGTAACAGAAAGCAAAGTTTGTTTTTATGTAGCAGCTCCTAATCTTATAAACAGAACCACTGTATTATGTACCTAGAAAGGTATAATCTTTCTTAAATGAAAACCAGATACAAGTAACTAGTTTAAGGGACTTTCTAGTAAGAAGTATGCATATTAGCAATTCATCTGTGTACACGTTTTGTGTTGTGTGCCGCTGTCGAAGTAGGTCGTTTGGTCAACGCCGGTGCAAGAACTTTACAGATTAGCTGGATTGAAATACTTAAACTGTTGCTTAAATACTTTTTTATCAGTCATTTATGAAACAAAACATTAAAATCTAGGGTTCGATATCCTGCGGTGGACAGAGCGCAGATAGCTTATTGTTTAGCTTTACAATAAAGTCAACACATACAAATAGGAAATAATTTGCTGTAGGATATGTTTAAAATCGCCATTTATATATTATGTCAAAGTGTTAATTGCACATTATCTGAACGACATGTTTATACTTATACAATGCCGTGTCCCAGCAGATTCGAATCGTGGTGTCAGTGATTGCAGAGTTAGGCTTAAGATTGGGGGTTGTATCACAACTCTTTCGAAGGAAGGGTATTCGTACAGCAATATTTTTAAATGATGTAAAATAAAATTAACATTACGAAAAAGGAAAGATTCAATGTTTGTTCTCCACAGAAACGGAAAAACTCGAACAAAAGAACTTTTGTGACAAAAGAAGCCTCCGAAACCACACTCCTAGCCCATTCTGGTCAGCAGCTCTAATTGAGGATGGCGATGCCAAAGCCCTTGGGGTCTCTGACATATCCCTTAAGCCCATGTGCCACATAAAGTATCCTTCATATTAAAAATATCAAATCATTTTAGAACATCATCTTATTATAGGTAAACTAGAGATACTTTATTTTTTAGATAAAGAGTTTTTACTTACAAAGCTTAATAATAAATACTTAGATTAGTTAGATGCTAGTAAAGTGAATAATAAACTAATGAGCTACCAAAAATCTTACCCTAGATTTACTCTAGAAGTACACTAGAATTCAATTTATCATTAATTTAAAAAAGAGCATAAAAGGCCTACATGTGATACTTGGAGCTCATTTTGACTTCTGAAACGATTTTTTAACACGTCACACGAGAACACGTAAGAAAAACTTGCATTACTAGTTCGTTTGATCCTCGAAGAAGAAATAAAACACAGAGCTCTTGATATTCTGAAATTTGTTGTTTTTATTTCACACCGCTGATAAGATTCTTATCTGACGGTTCTGCGCATTACCCAGTTCAAGAAATGTTGCATTTATCATTTCCTTACAGTTCAAGAGAAGCATTTCTGTACGTGATACACGAGAATGTGTGTTAGATTATTAACATAATTATTAACACCATCAAGGCTATGCAGCTGTCGTAGAGTACGCATGTGCGAAAAAATAGCCTATATGTTTGGTGTACTTTGAATTGGAACTACTAAGATTTAATGATAACCTTTCGTACTATCACTGTTTTACCTGCTTGTTGTTAGGCTAGTGAATATACTCTGTTCACATGTATTCGGAACAATTTATAAAAAATTCTAAGTTAATTCGACCAGCAATCCAAAATTTTTCCCTGTAAAATATAAAACATGTAGAAAACTGCTATTCTACCTTGCGTGTAAGTAATGTTTTCCAAAAAACATTGCCAGGACAAACATGGTTACATATTCTTACGTACTTTGAAATTATGCGAGTCTGCGTAAGTTCCTACTTTTAAAAAGTATGGTTTCTTTTAATAACGAAAACTCAATAGAACGTGATTTGACTTCTTGATTTTAACACTTGTATATACAATGCACATATCAATGTTATATTGCAATTACTGCATAAATATTCACATATTTGTACTCCATGGGTAAAACCATATAAACTTTTCACAGAAAGAATTCGTATTTTTGTGGACAAGCTATTGTATTAAGATTTTTAATGTAAGCTTAGCTTTTTGAATAATGTGTTAAAAGAATATTTATATTTTAGTTTTGTATTTTAAACGAGTTTTAAATGAAGTTGTCAGTTCTATGAGACGAAGCTTTCTTAATTCTAATAATCAGATAGGCATCAAATCACTTAAGAGGTTTAGCAGAATATATGTTGTTTTTGTTGTTTTCTGCAAGTATGCACTTGTAAGGTTTCCTAATCGATTTTATGCTTATACTAGCGCTTTTTATCCTAATAGATTTTACGTTTATAATAGAACTTTTTACCCCTATCAGTCTTATATCTATAATAGCTCTTTTGATCATAATCGAATTTATTTATATTAGCGCTTTTAAAGTATGCTTATTTCACACAAAGCGCCAAAATTATTGTGCATTTATAAAAAATAACGAACTTCGATTTATATATACTTATTCCTTTCTTGTATTTGTGTTACATATTTTGTCTTCACGGGGATTGAACTGTGGATTTTAAAATTACAAGTTCTCATGCTTACTGCTCAGCCATACCGTAGGACACTTATGCATTAATACCATTCAAGATACCTACCCCTTGTTTCCGGTAACTTTACAGACTTACAACATTAAATTCCAAAAATACCCATAGCAACTCACCTTTTTCGATGTGTGTCCAAAACTAATTAGCTATTATAACCTCCTGTACGTGTACGTACGTAGGTACGTACTATTCAACAACCAAAACAGTTTTTGAAATTCTTCTCCCTCTCTGATTAAAAGTTAATTCTGATGGTAGGATTAACAAAAATTTTCTAGTTTATATTTCAGCAGCATTTATGATTTCGTATCTATGTGGTTTTAATGTTTTATTAGTAAACCTCCTCAATGTGTCGAATAAAAAGTAATTATATTTAACGATTTTATACTATCAACTGTTCTTCATGCATAAGACTTTTCTACGGCCATCTATCAAATTTCGGCGTGAATTTCCAAAGAATTTAGAAGCATAACATTCATGTCTTTGATATTTATAGTTATACAACATTTATTTGCTCTCCTGTTTGACCTTAATCTACATTTTTTACTTGTAGCACACGAATGAATTAAACGTTATCTTTTAAAATAAATTTACCAAAATTAGCACATATATACGGTTTCAAGTATAACGTTTCCTTTATATCGTGACCGTTGGTGACTTTCAATTAACCTTCATATCATTTAGTACAGCTCCTGTTATAATCTTTATACTTACATTATCACTTTAGTTTATGTTATCAAGTTAATGAAACTTGTTTGTGACGTAAAATAGATAATATCACACAAAGTAAATAGTAAGTGAAGCATACTAAGTCTCTCAAAAAAATGTAGATGCTATTATAACCGGAATTTGTCGGTATTATGAATATTAACTCCTGTTTCGGACAAGTAAAGGCAAGATCTAATTTCATACCTGTGAAATATTGCTGTTTATCCAGTGATGCAATTCAGGTTTAAAAAAATCCGATTCTCGCTGTGGAAAGACAGGTTTGATTCTCAGATGTATTATATTTTTGATGGTATTAGCAGTTAAACCCATCCTGTTATTAACATCCCAGCCTGCATTAGGGAATTTCTTCATGATTTTCTTACCACTTGACTTATAACTTAGCACTAAACTAGCATTAATTCGTTTTCCATCCAAATGGATTTGCCTTGTGTGAATGAAATACACTGGAATATACAACAACAGCAAATAAAAATATTAAGCTGAGTTTTATCGTTTACATCATTACACTTAGCATGATGCATGTGTATCGTTTTTGAGATATGTTAAAAATAAGGAAGTATATGAACAATTATGAAATATATTGTGAACATCTTACTAACTGGATTTAATGCAATAAATTTGTTACATATATCATGATTAAAACTTATACTTTTTAGAAAAACTTAATGATTATTGCTTATCTTGTGAATATTATCTTCATGCGTTTAATTATCAACAAACAAAGTTTAACGTGCACAGGAAGATGTTTATCAGAATAATCCTGTCAGGTTAATCTGGGGCTGGGCAAGAAAACTTAGATGGAAAAAGGAAGAAAAAAACAAACGTCATTGGATGATCAAGTAAACTATTGTTCAGTAATGTAATAAACAACGTGTCCAAATGTATATATCACGTTGATGTAAACAGATACGAGGTAGCTGTCATTGACAAAATGAAAAACAGGTAGAAACATAGACTGTGTCCAACTGTTGTCAATGAAATTTTATCATCGTCATATATGTTTAAAGTTACATCAGATATTAAAAAAACAAAGATAAACGCATAAAGTAATATTCCAGCTGATTTCTTAATGAAAAAGCAATTCAAGGCATGACAAAAACAGAAACTGATTAATGAGTGCTTTAATATATAGTATATGGGAAAAATGCAAAATATTAGTTAACCAAAATTAGATTATATGTTTAAGAACTTAATTACTTAGTTTTCATTAGCAAGCATTGTCACTGATTAATTTACAAAACTTATTTAAATTTCGATAATGTATTAGGTGATTAATGATTAATTTGACTTATTAAACTTTTCGAAACATTATATCGAGAACGGGTAGAGAATTCACGAAGAAAAAATAAATACATTATATATACACTAATTATTTGACAATTGAAATTCATTTTCTGTGGCTATTATATTTCATAGAACAATTTGTTCCTGCATCTTTTAACGACGATGATAAGAAGTATAATACAAAAAAGGTTTCTTATGCATTAGGTAGTTGTATGAAATATATATATATATATATCTGATTTTAATATTTCTACTTTTTAAGGTTTCTTATGCATTAGCTAGTTGTATGAAAAAAAAAATATATATATATATATAATTTTAATATTTCTCCTTTTTAAGGTTTCTTATGCATTAACCAGTTGTATGAAATATATATATATATAATTTTAATATTTCTCCTTTTTAAGGTTTCATATGCATTAGTTAGTTGTATGAAATATATATATATATATATAATATATAATTTTAATATTTCCCCTTTTTGCTTTCTTGCAAAATATTTACAACAAGCACCGGTAGAGTTGTTGTTGCTTTTTTTTTAAATGCAAAGCTTTACAATGGGCTATCTACGCTCTGTCAACCGCAGGAAAAGGAACCCCTATGTTTAGCATCGTAAGTCAGTAAACTTACCGCTGATCTACCGGGTAATATATTTCATCATAGGATGAATAAGCCATGAGATGTGTAACTTTTAGTTATTCCAGTAGAAGATTCATTAATGTTTGCATACCATACATTTTTCAGAATCACACAGATAAGTACTTGGACGTTAGTGTTGAGGATTGAGGATATTTGAAGCGGAAGTTCGTCTATGTTAAGCAAGAGTAACTTTGGTCTTCGATTAAGGCACCACGTTTTCTGAAGTATATATCACGGTGATAAAAATGAAACGCCTCTGTGTCAGAAATGCTTTAAAAATGAAACGTCTCTACGTCAGAAATGCTTTAAAAATGAAACGCCTCTACGTCAGAAATGTTTTTCAAGGAGAACTTCACGTTTTTTATATCTTCCTCCACAATAAAGTCCAAAAATTGAGATATTTTCTAATTTTGCTCACTCTTTGAGCTTAATCGGTTTCGGAGAATATTAATAATCAACACAATAGCTATGAAGTGGACTATAATGATATTAATGGAGTTTTTATTATCATTGTTTTACGAACAATATTCAGTATGCATATTATATGGTATAGCTTTACACCTTGTTGCATCTATTAACTAATAATTTAATATTGGACGACTCGCGGTTAGTATATATTAACTACTAGCTATGTCTTTCAAATCTTTAATAAGTACTTTTGTCGACAGACACATTATCATAAACACTGAAGTACAACTACTACGGAGCTACACACGGATGGTAATAGTATCTTATGTATTCCTGACTCATAATGAATAATAATTAAAAAAAAACTTCCATACGAATAGCCAAACATGGCCGATTATGGTGGTATACTTAAGCAATGTCGTAACAAACATTAAGAAAAAGGTACGATAGCAGATATCAGTAGTACATCTAAAATCTTTAGTATCTTTACAACGTTTGTTTATTCTTTTGCGGACTTATTGATATTTGCTGCTGCATCTCTTGGTGAGAATGATAAGAAGTGTCATGAAAAAGGTTTTTTTATGTATAAGTTAGTTTCTTTTTATCTATTGTAATGGATCCTTGCTCTCAATGAGATGAAAAACTTTGTGCATTCGTCCCAAAATCA